TTCTTTTTTTTGAAAATTCAGTTTTAAAATTCTTTTTTCTATGATAGATTTCTAGATATCTTAAAAATATGTATCTAATACAAGGTCAGTGAAATTGCGCAACGGCACTGCGGTACATTACATTATTAATATTACATTATAATTTAAATCATAAATGGATGAATAAATAATACAAATTTAAGATTAGTCACAACAGCTTGTGATTTAAAAAAATACTTGTAGTAAAAAAATTACAAGTAAGTTTTAGAGGAAATTTATCAAATATAAAAAATGGGTGTCTCGCTTCTTTGTGAGTTCCAAATAAAATTAAAATAAAGTATTTTTTCCAAAATATTGACAATACTTTTGATAAATAGGAAAGTTTAGTTCAAACCGCGTAAGATTACTATGTTAAAATATTACAACACGTATTTTTTCAGTATTTATAAATGTTTGTATTGTAGTAAATTTTCGAATTCCACTCACACACATTAGACGATGATTTGCATATTCGGATGAAATTTAAATGACACATATGAAACGTAAAGCGAAACATACGCGTACCACGCGGGGTATAAATTCACTTTTTCTTTAAGTGTATTAAGATATTTATTAAAAATGGCTGCTATTTCCGGGAAAGTCCGCATTACGAGGGTTCCATGCTAATATTTTATGATTCACACGTTTCCTAGCAACGAAATGAAAAACTTATACGTATTCCTGTTCAATTCAATTAATTAATACCTAAACGAAATTGGTTAGGAATCTTATAATAGGGAGTTTGAATGTTCCTTACAAGGAGATATACCTTGCTTTCCAATTAGCTCCCCTATTAAAAATAAATAAAAATTATATTACTAATATACCGGATTATGAATTTATCATAACCATTTTGATGGCTCATCTTTCGGAAATGCTATCATACCGATCTATACTTAGATTATAAACAGTTAAAGTATCTTAATTTGTTTGTTTATAAGATATAATCTTCGTAAATACCTACTGATCAGATTATGACAATACTTTCACTTACGGGAGGCTACATCACATGCGGGTACTATAATTTACGCGGGCGAGGTCTGCTGAATATAGGCTTCCTATTTACCTTCATTTCGATCGGTTGTAAGCGACCTGCATCCAGCGAATTTTATTAGGTCATCTGTCCTCGCAGGTAACCGTCTAACGTCTGCCGATTCGTGGTCTCCATTAAAGAACTCCTTTGTTCCATCGGCGATCCGTTCTTTGAGCCACAGCGTTCTGCCTCAAAATTAGATGTATCAAAACTGTTTATTAATAAATTTGAATTGATGCTAGTTACTATGAGAAAGTTATTGACAGGCCACTATTTTGGAAAAAGTACTAGAAAACCACGATTCTCTTAAAAGTAATTTCGTAAAAAGCTTTCTATTAACTTATTGATATTGAAGTCCTGGGCGTTACGAGAGCAAAATTTCAGTAGGAAGTCATAACAATTTATCGTAGGCACGAAAAGCAATTAGCTCAACAAATTGCCTGCAAACTAATCGTTGTAAATGTTGCAGAAGCCTCATCCGTGTAAATGTCAGGGGTCATTATAATACGTCGTTTTTCCACTTTTAATTTACAGCCAGAGGCATAATCATAGCTGGCCTCAATTTCATTATATCAAATATTAATCGAAAGATCAATCTGGGAAATATTTATTTAAAAAAGTCAGCTTTATCACTATGTCACACATATATTTGGAAAATAATCATATTGCCGAAAACCAATTCCGTTAATACGAAATATCATTTTTTAGTTTTATATAGGTCAAAATCAAAATATAACATTGAATTTATTGTACTGTCGTAACGTAAACTATTTTATTTATAAAAGAAAGGGCGGCGCTACACTCGTGTGCTGTGTGGGAAATCGCTACATTACCTACATATTAGATACTAGATGCACGAACACATGAAGATTTTTTCTCTCGACCTTTGTCCAGCAGTGGACGTTTTTCTGTGTGACTTTAAATGAGGATGATTATGATGACCTACTTAATATTTAAAGTTTAAAATGCCTTGAACAGATACGATGTTATAATAAAAATAAAAAACATAACAAAGTCATGATAAATATTATTTGCACCAATTCATTACATTTTTCCGAACCTGTAGAGATATTTCCCATTATAAACTGAAAATCACCTCGACCGTTTCATTAATTTAAGCCAATTAATAGTGAATTTTGTTCTCACGGTTCAAGTCAAACGAACATGCAACAAGACGAATTATACCTAGTTATGTAATCGCGTATAGTTTATGTGCTGATTTGATTATTTTGTGTTAACTCATAAAATTACTTTTCATTTGGGTTTTACTTTTTATAGGCGAATTCTTGAAAGGGATTTTTGCAGTTACTTTAAAAAGAATTATTAACTGTAAGACCAGGCCATAATCAAGAAGGATCACTTCTTGATTATGGCGCCAATTAGTTGGTAAGGAGACTAAAAGGAAATTTGTCTCTCTCTGGACTGGGTGTTAATGGATATCCCTATATTCCTTATCTTAAGAGCTTCATGATCGAATTACAGTAATCGTAATGGTTAATAAGTAAATAATATAAAATAATTTGGATTCTTTTTCCATCTGCCTTCTTCTTCAGCTGACATTATATTTAGGCTTTAAGTTTTATTTATGGCAATCGCGTGTCACTATTGCGTTAAAACTCTAAAATAGCTGTCACTTGCATCAACATTGCGAACTCTAAAATAACTCATCGTGTTTTTGTTAGTAATTACCGTCCGATTAAGTTAAGACAAACTAACGAATTGTGCCGCATCTTTAGTTATCTAACATCGCTGTATTTATTTTTGACTACATTTTCCTATAGTAACTTCTTAAAATTTAAACGCTTACCTCTTCTTAAAAATATGATATTAAAATATATATCTATCAATATAATTATGTGTAATTCTATCTACATATCAAATAAGGTTTAAATGTTCAACGGCGATCAAATCAGAACTAATTTGAAAGTTTGTAAAAATGTCTTCTTATTCAGCTTATAAAAATGTCTTCTTATTCAGCTTATAAAAGAACTGTCAGATTGCGCAGGAACTGGCAGAATTTGTCAGGGGAAATGGCACGAAAGAGTAAATTCTAAACCTCCGGCTCATTGTGGAAAAATTACACAAACATACAATTCCAGCTTCTATATATTTTATGGATTATCATTAGTCTTTTGACTGCGTCAGGTGGTTGAAACCGTGGGAAGTCTTAGTTGAATTCGGTGTTCGTTTCCATCTAATAAATTTGGTTCGCGGACTGGATGAGTCTGGATATGATTCAATAACGATAGGAAATGTCAAATCAGAACGGTTAAAATTCCATAAAGGAGCCCGTCAAGGGTGCGTTATTTCCCCCTGCTGTTTGATATCTATGGTGAATATAGGTGTAATGCACCATACGCTCCAGGGGTGGAAAGGTGGTATCAAAGTTGGAGGTGAAATGATAGCCAACCTTCGATATGCAGACGATACAATCCTTGTCCAGTGTACTAACCTGCTTCAAAACTACGAAACTGGCGACCATTTTCAATACCTCGGGTTAGTTATCACAAAAACAGGTAACAGTGAGCCATAGATACGAAGACAGATCGGAATGGCAAAATCTGCGATGACTGAACTCGGAAAAATATGGAAAGACAAAGACCTCCGATTGGACAAAAATACACCTAGTTCGACCTCTTGTTTTCTCCATTTTTCTTTACATGGACACTTAAAAAAGCCAATAGCCTTCGAGATATGGTGTTGTCGTTCTTACTTAGGATCCCCTAGGCGGCTCATCGCACCATTTTCTGTTCTTAAAGAACTTAAAATTGAGGAAGTGCAGCAATTGTCTTCTTTCTGTTTGTTTTACATTGCTCGTAGGAGCAATGCCAACCTAGAACGACAAATGGTAACAGGAAAGGTGGAGAGAAAGAGAGCCAAAAGCGAAAGTCCAAAAAGATGGTCGGACCAGACAACTGTATATCAGTCAGTGTAGTTCAACAAGCAATCGATCGCAATAGATAGGCGTACAGTTGATAGCTTAAATAGAAAATCTAGTCACGATCCTCAGCAGTGATTGAACGATGTTAGAGAAAGAGATAGAAAAAAATATAGGAATTTGAAGTTCCAGAAATACAAAACCTTTTTACGCACGTACCTACGTACTTTAATATATTTCAAAAGTCAAATAAACTTCTCATCTATATTTAGATCAGCAGCTACGTTAATAAAACGTGCCCTTTCCTTTTGAGGTCCTTAAAGGTAAATCACATCTCTTAAAAACATTCGCTATTTCATTTACCTTATAATTTGTTTCTTTACCGAGTAATTTAATATGAATCTTATATTTTCTGATACTTTGTAATAGCTATTTGTGTCCCTTTGCTACGAATTATAATTAGCAAATAGAAATCATGGAGTTTCTTCCAACTGATTTTGGTTTTAAATAAGAAATCTACAAAGAAGGATGCTGCGTCTTTTGGTGTTTTTCAATTTTTATTTAATATTGGTTGTATTTCTTTTGAGATTTATTTTAGTTGCTTAATATATATTGGATAAACTATCGATTATCATAAAAGTACACGAAAACATCGGTATTGAATCTTAATTATCTATTTGTTTTGTTTGCGTATTAACAAACTATTAAACATTTATTTTTATCAAATGTTTTAGTGAATATTTATGTAGACATTCAGTACACGTGTAGCTATTTGCAGAGCCGACATGGAATAGGGTAAACGTTAACGAATCGAACTTATGAAAATTCTAAATTTTCAGAATGCATTTCAATAGCATAGAGAAAGAGCGTTTTAATTATAAAAATAACTATATTTCTTAACACTATTGACCTCCGAGGTCATGTTCGCAGGCAAAACTTATTTCATCATATCCAAACTGACTGATATCCAATAATAAAGTTCTTTTCGACCTTCTTAAATGGATTCCACTGATGTTATTAATAAGGTAGTTCTTAATTGTGTGCTCATTTTAATGAAGGATTATTTTACAGCGACAAGTGGGTCGGGCAGCGGACCGGGCGGTGGTGGGGCGGACGCGCGGCGCGGGGGGGACATCACGCCGCACGCGCAACCTCAGCGACGGCTCATCAAAGTAGACTTTGACAACTTGGAGGTAAGTACCGAATAGTAATAATTTACATGGTTTTCGAGAGGATTCGTTACAAATGAACCTGTATCATACGCCTTTAGTTCAATGTCCTCGGCCTGCTTTAAAATGCAACCAATTTGTGTGTGTTGTAAAGAATACTACCTAAGTCCGAACTATGTATCGAACTACATATGTAACCCAAACGATGAGTTACAGATGTTATCGTTTGTGTTACATAGTTCGAAAGACAACATCTAGTTTCTAAGTTATCGCAAGCAAAAGATAATATTTTGACAATTCATTGACATGAAATTTAAAAAAAGGGAAAAAAATACGAGAGATTTAAATAGAAACGTATTTTACTTGGTCTTATAACATTTTAGCTTTTGAAAACTATGTGCGCTGTTAGGTAGCAGTATCTTTTATTGAGTTTTATTTCTATAACAAATTCCATTGAGGCATCTAATTCAACAAATTGAACACCTGTGATAACATCACAAATGTTAATTCCGCCTCTCGTTCAGAATACTTTAATTGCGTGCCTATTATAATAACTCCGCAAACTATTTATTTTCTGAATTCACCATACTATCGAATCATAACATTAGTTTGTAATCTTTTGTATCAAATGCCGTCAAGCCTAATTCTATAAAGGTTCCAAAATCTTTAGAGAAAAAGCTTTCTTGGCAACTTAAATTAGTTACTTAACATTTATTTGAACGTGACATGGCCTTGGTAAATCAGCGAACAAAACGTATAACACCTACAAAATTGAGCCTGAAATAAACCTTAGCAAGATTTAATACAATTTCCGACTGAAATGTTACAGTAGACGTTGTCTGTTTTTCCATTTATCTTATTTGGTTTATACATGAAAAAATACTTTTATCTGAAAGGAAAATTGAAGAAAATATATTACACGTAAGCACTTCACAGACAAATAGAAAGGTTTCTCTATTTGCTATTACGATGGAGAAAATAAAATTGACAATATGTTTAGCTGTACAAAACTGTTCAATAATAATGTCAATATAGTGCTGTAACATAATCCACAAAAGAGTGCTGACTTCACAGTTCAGTGCAAAAAATAAATTGGCTTCACCTCCGGAAAAATAGTATATTGTGACTTGCAGATACTTTTATATTACCCACTCGTTCTCGTAAACAGTTTGACCGTAAATAATTGCCGTTGAAGAAATACGTTATTTGGTTGTTCCTGAGAAAGTGAGCACAAACTATACTCATATAAAGTTTTATTGTTGTTGTAACCTTCGTTTTGCTCCGGAAGTTTGACTCGTAGTTAAATATTGTTGCCGTACACCTTCAGCAATATTTTGGTTAAGTTAGTGGCAACATATTTAAGGCAACGAGCTTGTAATCCATCACTTTAATGCATATAAATATACCAAACTAAAAACAAAAATATCTTATCATTATTTTAAGAAATGTGAAAGTCAGGTAAAGAATTTTAGACATTTTTTTATTACAAAATTTTCACTTAAACGTAGAAATGAATCGAGATTATAAAGTTTTACTTTTGTGTTAAACAATTGCAAAACCTTCTCGAATAGTAATAACGATTTTATCTCATTGAAGCTCTACGCTGTATCAGCGCTGCGTTCGTCATAGAATTCAAGGTTATTTTTTTACTCAGTAGCGTAGCGGAAAAGATATATATATTTATTTAATTATTCACAAATTGGAATAAGATCCCTGCACGGGATCTAAATCATATATATAGAGTAGATCTTTTAATAAGTCATCATATATTTTCGTTAATTAACAAGAGCCGATTCTGTCTTAGATTGTTTATACCCTCCACAGAAATAGGTTTTTATACTTTTATTATACCCATCTTTTTACTTTTTAACGGGAAGTTGAACAAAGTGAAAAAAGTAAGTATCAAAGTATAAGATTTTTATTATGTAGGTACCTTAAAAATGAAATCCGTGTCACGGGAGCAGCAACACTTCCATCTGACGTGTCATTAAACATAGTGTTTCTTTTTAAAGTAACTGGGCCACAGCCACCGGCCCGCCCTCGGTAAGCACAAGTGTTTTCTTTATAAAGGATGTTATCTACAGTTAGCCGACAACTGTCGCATCTCTAATGAGACTCTAACTAACAACGGAACATTAACGGAACATTAGAACAACGATATTTAAGTAACATATAATAAATACGCCGTATGTATAATTTCAAAGTTCTAAACGCATATATGAATATATAATTTTTGATTCGGTTAAATAACGACCTTAACCTTAACCTTTAACGTTTTCTTTTAACCGACTTCAAAAAAGAGGTTCTCAATTTGACTGAATGTTTTTTTATCGAGTAAATAGTACTTGTCATATTTTTTTCTCTTCCTATTTTCAGCAATAATATTTATAGGCATAGTTATTTTGATCTTTCATGAAATTTTAAACGATTTGCAAGAAATAATACCTATGCTAATATATCTTTTGGATTTGGTTCAGTTCAATAGTCTTTTAGGTTTTCAATATGTACTTCGATAAAAGACTTCAAAACGAGCTTTTAGACGGCGAGTTATCTCGATAGCCGACTATTTAGATCTTGAAAAATGTTTGCCGAGCTGAAATGAGGATTGAGTCAAAAATAATATGTTAAATTGTGATTGGCTGTGGTGCGCATAATACTAATATTTCATCGCTAAGATTCTGTCTAATTCATTGTTTGAAATTGGTTTTCGTCCGTGAAAATTAGGCGTTTAAGAGGGCGTATACCCCAAAAATTACTAACTTTTAATTGGTTTTGTACAGTTATTTTTTTTAAGTCGTTAAGTTACTATTTCTTGTTGTAATTATGCTCTTTTTATAGAGAAAATATGTGAATCACTTTGTAGCCGAGGACTCTGTTTTTTCAATAGTTTTAATATTTAGCGAGTTTGCCGCGCGCAATGATCTATACGTCAATAAATAGTGTTTCGGCTTCACACCCACTCTTAATTACTAGAAATTTATAGTAGAGGTATAAAATCCAGAGACGTAAGTACTTTTTATTTGGCAAACGCCAGCAAAACTTATATATTTATAAATTGAAATACTACTACTTAATCATGTGTTAATTTATCTCACTAACTGAAATCCTATGTATTATGTAATTAATGTAATTAGTTTTTGTGTTCAAAAAGCGTTACAATATAAATTCTTATAATAATGAGAATGAGAGTACAAGCGGATATCATAAATTGCCTGACGTAAAATGGATATTTGATGGTCAATATCAAAATGATAAAGTCATTATTACCGGCATGTCTCCCAATGTCCCTATTGTCGTGATGAGGCATAAAAAAATAATAAAGCAAAACGAGTAGTATCAGCCGCGTTCTTAATAGCTTAACTAGAAGCGAAAGGAAAACAGAGCGTCTCAGCTGTTTGCCTTTCTGAGTCTTATAAAGTTGACATATGCATGCAAAATTTTAAAAGATAAATAATATTTAATTTTTTTTTGTGTTACCTATTATATTTAAAAAAATATCATTATCTCTAAAAAAATAGAACCGATTTTAAACTTAAAAAAAGAGATGAATGGTACATATCTCAAAAGCGACTTATTAAAGAATTGAAGTCGGGCGCCTATAATTAAACAATAAATATATATAATTATTATTATAAACAGTAAATATTATTTTAAATTGTACTCTTTATGTTGGCTGCTTCCGAAAGCATTGTTCGCTATATTACAAGGATCACTTAGAAACACTCTGGCTAAATAAAAATAATGAAATGGTAAACCGAATAATTCGGCTGAACATACGGTTCGGTAAAATTTAAACCGAATGCTATTCGGTATTCGGTTATTCTGTGAAACCACTATTCGGCAAATATGTAAAAAATATTATAGTAAGCTGAAATTTAAAAAAAATATTTTTTTAAGCACATATCGCCATCTCAGATTTTGCCGCATGTTATTCTGGGTGTATCTGTGCCGCCATTTGAATTCTGAAAAATTGTCTAATAGTAGGTATACAATACATCACATACTTTTTAGATTAGTCTTTGGAACAAACATAAAAATACGTTTTGTTGTTTTTCTGTTCATCAGATAGTCTGGTCAAAATACACTTCTCAAATAATAAAAACTTGGACTATAAAATTTATAATTTAGTAAAACTAGTGTTGAAAATCGCCGAAAGTTTCGGGAACATTGGAAGTTTTCAGGAAAGATTCGGGAAGTTTACCCGAAAACTTTCGAAATATGGGAAGTTTTGGAAGTTAAAGTTCTTTTTTTGTTGATTTGAGTTTCTTATTGAGAAATAAATACTTAGTGTACACGTTAGTATTTGAAATTTAGTGAGTTAGAAAATTGAAATTATAAAATATGATGAGTTGTCTTTATGTAGATCAGAAAATAATCCAATATATAAATACAGTAATCATCAAATGTGCCGTGATTGATGTTCTGGAGAAATAAAATTTGATGATTGCTGTGTTACTTCTTGAGAAAATGAGAACTTTGACAAGTTTTCTGAAGTTTGAAGGTTCAGGCCTTCCTTATAGATGATTAAGGAGGATGTGTTATGGCCATCCATGCGGCACGGGTCCAATGCGGATTATTAATTACTGAAGTATTAATGACTGCTAATGCAACTTGGACCAACGGCTTAACGTGCCTGCTGAAGCACGGAGTAGATTGAAATAATAATTTTTTGACAACCCATTCTGTGACCGACCATTGCGAAAGTCGCTTAACAACAACGATCCCGGGCTGCGGCGCTTATCCACCGCTACCGAGCTACTCTGAATTTCTGTATGATAAAACACTTAACATGGTAATTTATGAGAATAGTACAATTTACAACATACAATTAGTAATATAAAATCGTTAAATAATGATTAACAGGCGCAAACTTCCAAAACTACCGGAAGTTTTCCGGAAAGTTTCCTCAGAGAAGGATGCCGCAATATTCATCTCTAGACCGGTTATTGTTGTTAACAGTGATCCATTATCTAATCTATATTATCTCTATTCTCTAATTGATCCGACACCGCCTTACTTTCCTATAATCAATTACGTGATCTAATCAAATTCCTTTAATGCTTCATTTCTTTATTATTTTTATTTATGATACAATTTCATGGCTCGATCCACGAGACTATGGGCCATTTACCCTACAAATCATTAGAGATGATTTCATTTTGCTTTTAAAAAGAAAAAAAAAAAGTTTTTGAATTTGAAGAAGACGCTATAGTGCATAATATATAATAATGCATAAAAACTGATAGAATTTTTTATGAATAAAAAATAAATTATAAACGAAATTGGTTTGAAATCAATAAAATAATGTTGAATATACATATGCATAACATACGTGCCTTTGGAGCGTTTGGCTTCGTTCCAGCTCATTAGCTAAATACTTGGTGCAAACGAGATTATTCCACGTTATATAGGGCGTTGGAAATATTATCATGTGGTGTTGGAAAATGGAGAATGGTATTCAATAAATTGTATAATAGTTCAGAGGCTTACTCGGTTATCACATTTTTTTTTCGATCACTCATTGTTCTCTTTCGTGCTATCATCACATTCCAATATCTATGCAGTATGAAAATTTTCAGCCGTCGGACTTAAAGTAACTAAATTCCTGAATGATGTAACTTCTCGTAGGTGAAAATATTTATAATCGGATCAATATATCCGAAGATGACACAAAGAAAAGTTAAAGTTACCTCTATAAATATTAGTAAAGATTTTTTAATATCATATATCTATTTATTTATCTACTTTTTAGTTTGTCTTAATATGAAGTAACACTAAAAAGATATTGAAAAAATTTACTACAGTTTAAAAAAAAATATTATGAAATTCTCACTAATTTTATTCGATTTTTTTTTAATTTCATTAAAAAAAGAAAAAGAAATAAACCTTTAACCATTATATATTTTAACCATTATTGGCATACAATCAGATATAAAAGTACTCGACAAATATTTCCGTTTGCATAACACAGTAAAGGGAATGTATTATAAAAGGCATTCGCAAAAAATAACCTTTTACTCGGCGGATCGTTGGAGAGGAAAGCCGGCCATCCATAACATGCCGCCAGTAGTGTTGCAACCTGCATACCTACTGCAGTGCTTTTAACCTTCATCGATGTCCGGAAAGGCTTTAGTGCTAGATTTTGCACGAAATAGAATGTCTCATGTGTCATTCAAAATAAGGTTCCAAATTCAAGTTTCAATTTGACCGTTAAATAATTTTTATAGTGCTAAACTTAAAACTTAAACGAAATACCACCCACTGATTTCAAAGAAATCATAGAAAGAGTCCTGCAATATGGGCAATTTCATGCAGTGACAGGCAAAGAGTATTTATAACTGAACCTATTCAAAATAGTACATAAATGTATTTGTTTATCAATAAGAATGGATTGTAATTATTTTCTTAGGAATTAATAATAAATAACCTTTTAAGCTTCTCGTTATATAAATTTGTTTTTATGTAATTATCGTGTTTAAAATCACATTAAACTGGTGCTTATCTGCTTATTATGTAAAGGTGGTGCCACAACAATATTGAAGTTTGATTTTTCCTAAACAGAATTTCAATGTACCGAGAATAAGTACAGTAATTGTGGCTTCACGTACTGATACTCATGTATCTGAACAGTTATATAGATAGTATTTGGTGATTGACCCTTACCTCCTACTTTCACTTTAAGTAATTTCATGTTGGAGACGAAGGTCTATAATTTAGTACTTTGACAGATAGGCAGAGGAACAAAGGTACGACATGCATTTCGAATTGCACAGGTCAGAGAAAAGAGACTGATATTTAACTATTTTCTAACCAACAACCATATCCATCGATAAGATATATTTAATTTATAAAATAATTAAGTAGCTTAAAGCAAGTGTTTATATTTATGAAATGAAAAGAATTTATTAAATATACACTTCAGTTAAATTTATTGTGGCATTTCGTGTGAGTTCTCTTAGCACGCTATATCCGACGATGTGGCCTGAATACCGGAAACAATTGTAAAAAACATTTTACAAAAAAAAATGCTTAGGAAATATTATTATCACAATGAAATATGTGAGTACGGCATTAGGTGAGATTGATTGAGATGTGGCTCAAATTGTGACAGGAGTGAACAGCAGCGATGATCTGTTATAAAAACAACCTTGAACTCGACTACGAGCAGGGTTTCTCAAACTTTTGGGTCCATGAACTGCCGTGAAAGATTCCAGATGACCGTAAATTATAATAATATGGTTTTTATTTGAGTTATTGGTACTAAATCATTGTCAAAAGAATATTTTTAATATTATGACTTGTTTTTGATGAAATGAACTCTACTTCAAAAGGCAATAAAGATGATGGTATATGGTTATCTAGCGCTATGTTTCTAATTCGATCATTAATATAGCTTTATCAATCGGTTAACAATAATTATTATGATTACTATAGAATATTTTGTCGACTGTTTGTCTATTCTGTCAATTCTTAATGATAAATGTCTTTGAAGTTTCAACACAGTTTCAACAGTTATAAAGGCAGCCACAAGGCTATCCGATTATGTTTCCATTCTGATTTCTGACACAAGAGCTTTTACGTAAGCGCAGAAATAAGCACGCTACCACAGAGTTGCGACGTCGAGCTTCTTGTACCTTCTAACTGTACACTATTGTGAAGTAACAGGGTAATCTCACCGAGTATGCTTAAGGGTATGCCTAACGTTAGAAAATAAACCTTTATTATATTTGGTCAATTTCTCACTCACAATGCTATACTAAAAATGTTCTTAGTTTTTTAGCATTTTTCATTAAGAATACTAATTAAAACGAGATTAAATCGCTATTATACGAGGCAGAGAACGAGAGACGACGACATATTGAATCGTAGCAATCAAGAATGAGTTCCAGAAAAAGCAGATCAGATAATAGATTTTATAATAATATATAAGAACTAATTTTTGATATTTTGAAATTAAACTAAGTAATTACTATTTTATGATTCCAATTCTTTAAATAAGAATTATAATGAGGATTATAAATTATCTCTATTTATCAACACGTTCACGCCCTTGATTAACGATTTAAATATCCTCTAATAAATGTTATCTAAAATACGCGTTATAGCACCATTCTATTAATGTAGCTCTTTGTAATTGCGTCATGATGAAGCTCATATGGTTGACTTATGCGGTTTTATATGCATGTCTAAAGCGACTTAAAATATCTAGAATCTAATTTTGTGTTAATTGTTTTTATCATAATAATATCAACTGATCATTAAAAAACCTAAAATCAGAAACTAGAACCTGTACCGATTAATAAACTTTAGACGTGCTTTAAATACTCAATTCAGAAACAGGGGGTTAGTGTAACACTAAGTTAATCTAACATTAAGTTAAATTATGTAAATTAATATTAAAAGGAAACTCTGTTCTTCACTTGTGCTAGATTTTACTATGGAAAATTAGAATTTGGAAAACTATTTCCAAAACATAATCTCTCGTTACTTACAATACTTACTAATGATTAATAATAATGTTAGAACTAAGTGCCTTGGTTGTCATGCACCATTTCTTGTGAATAACAGCCAACACCTTTCATTAATAGTTATAACCAGATTAAAGCTCCACTTTGACATCTTAAGGTAGTGCTCTGTAAATGTTGTTCGTTCGTGTCAAATTACCGTGGCTAAATTTGATACTTGCCCTGTGAAGCGTGTATAAACAATTATTAAAATTTTGTGGGAAAATGCACTTTACGAGAGAATCTTGTCCCTATTTCTATGAGATTATCTTCGACCCCATGTTTTGTGTTGTGATACTTGTTTAGATTTTAAGTTCATATTTTGATTCGACTAACTCATTGTTTATATTATAAAATGGTCATGTTGATTATCGCGTTTTGTGTTTTTTATAGTTCCATACCCAAGGGTAAAAATGGAAACTCTGTTAGACTCCGCTGTCCGTCCGTCTGTCTTAGCATTTACGGTTTCCTGTGAAGGTGTGCCATATCGGTAACAAAAAGTATCTAGGTTTGCGTAAAAATATCAGACAACATCATCAACATCAAATTTGCAGTTTTGTATTCACAATGCCATATTTGTTAAAAATCCCAAAAAGTAGATAAACCACCGGTACTACGGAATCTAAAACATCAATGGTACAACACACCCAGACCTTGAAACCGCCGCGCGATCCACTCGGATCAAATGTAATTCGTTAATTTAATTATATTATTTTTAATGAAACCGATTTCTCTTTATGTCCAGGACGACGAAGACGACGATGACACAGAGACCTGCGCCAGCCCCGAGGTGTGCGCGCCTCAACCGTTCCCGAGGCACACGGCGCCTCAACAGACCCCCAAACCTTGGAAGAGAACTGGTCAGTTAATACCGAACTCTACTCGATTCATTACACGAAGTGAGCAACAGTCGTAACTTTTTGGTTACATTTTGTTCTACGAGAAAACAAACTTCAGTTTGGTAAAATATTAATCAGTGAATGAAACGGTGCTAAGTGCTAATTAAGTAATGTTTGAATATTATTTTCTTTAGTCTGGCAAATTATTAAGAATTTTTTATACAGAAACATTTGATTTAATATTCAAAAAACATTACGAGTAGTTTAAGAGTTAGTAGTAGCTTACTTTGGATGAATTAATAGTTTTTTTTTAAATCAATACTTTTAATATTCAGCCCGATTAAATGTTTAAATATAAGTAACTTAACGTTACTTATAGGGATTGCAAATTTAGATTATTTACAAAATAATTTTGAAATGAATATTTAATTGAAAACCTATTTCATTAAAACTAGTTTATATGCAGTGGAAGAACTTCGCTCTCTTCTTCTGTTTCTGGGCACACAAAATTCTTTGAATATTTCTACGAAATACTGGTATTTAGGGCAAAAATAATTACCTATGGTAGTACATCGCCTAGTTTATAGATTGAACCTAATAAGTTTAGTATTAAGCACGTTCTCCTTCCCATGCACCCTTGAAGCTGCTGAGGAGATGCCGCGCGCCCCACCGCGCACGCGCATTACCCACGACGAATACCACCAATTCTGCGACCAGACCCTTGAATGTATGACCGCATGTCGTGTCTCATAGCATGCTGTCACGCTTTCACTGTTAGCGGCTTCCTTCGAAAATTTGAGACAAATGTATTTTTATCTATTTGCAATAAACAGAAGATGGATAGAACTAGAAGTTTACGTTGTTGTAGCTTGCCAGTTTTATTCACGTCTACTTGAGTTGAGAAATTTCTCGTTATACGGTACTTACTTTTATTATTAATGCAATTATTATTTCACACTATGGAGCTTGAAAGTTAACGCATAAGTTAAAGTATTCAAATAAATTTTAGAGTTTTGTAAAATAGCTCTCAAAATTATTGTGCGGTGTAGTAATTATATCACGTGATATCTACATATTACTCGTACTATTACTAAGTCTATTTTCGGAGGAAGCGGACAGATTTTGTGAATTAACATTTCATAGCTTTGAAAATCGATTACGACTCGATGTCAGTACTTAGATGTATAAATTTTTCAACTTCTAAATTTTTTTTGTGTGCTTCAATCACGTGACTTATTTTCTATTGTATAGTCGACAGCTCATCAGGTTATATACTAAATTTTCATTTATTGGGAATCCAATTCAAATCCAATTAATCTGATGTGCTGCTGTGTGTACAAAATTTTGACGTTATCACCATCTTACATCAAAATTTGTTATTTTTATTGGCAACATATTTTCTTCATACTGGCATTTAGAATAACATCACACTTTTACTGTTTGCTGACATCACGTTTGACTTAACAAATTATTTTTATTACAAAAACGAATATAAACCTCTCAATCATTGTCTTGGGTTAGATTTATTTAATTATTATGACTTCTTTGTGTACGTTAAAGCTGAAATCTCATTTAATATTGACAATTAATTAGATAATTGAAATCTCTGTAGAGTTATCTTATATTATTGAAGTATAATAATTGTCATAAAATCTTATATTACAGGAAATTATATTTTGTTGGTTATTTATATCAAGTTAAAGTTTAGTGTTCTAGTTGTATATAAAATAAATGTTTTGTTGGTTATGTTGCAGCGTATGACTTGGCGACACAGTGCCCGTCGCGGCGGGCGTCCATGCGGCGGCACACGGTCACGCACGCCGCCTGCGCACCCACCGACGGCGCTCATTCGTTACCACACTCAAGGTAAACTATATTTCCTTTTACTGTAGAATCGGTTATTCCTGGCAACGCATATCTCTATGTAATTCAGTAATTTCACTCGATTCCATACTTTAGCTAAGGATCGATCTTTTTTTTTGCAATAAAATCGTGCGGGTTTCTATTACCCAACTACCTAACTAGTTTAAAAGTGTGAAAATTAGTCTTTTCTTGCGGTGGGTAAGTTAAATCAGTTCGCTAGTCAAGGATAACAGAGTGGGCGTTTTGTATATAGGCCAGGATCGCGCGCGTCGTGCGCAGGCGCAGCGTCGCTGGCGAGCAGCGAGGCGGACGCGCAGCTGGCGGAGCTGTCGTGGTCGCGCTCCTCGCTGCAGGACGAACTCATCAAGTCGGTTAGTGGCAGCCCTACACATCACGCGCATGTGAGTAGTACACGCACACATACACACACGGCACGACACCGCTTCTGACCAGCTCTGGTGGAATACTCCATAAGTCAATACTCTTAAGAACAGGTGCACTACGTTGCTCATTCTTATATTAATTGCTATCGTATAGGTAGTGACAGTTGCGATTTTTTTAATATTAGTTAGGAAAAAAAATATATATAGAAATACTTTTCACACGAATGCGGTAATAAAATATAATCTCTTGTGGCGAAGTGATTGTGGCGTTTTCTTTATTTCTATTTACATTAATTAAATAAATATTAGCGTTAGATGATCATAAAAAAAATCTTCTTATTCATAAAAAAAAAACTGCGTTTTCAGCAATATTAACGACCATTCCAACTTAATCACAAGACAAGCTAACTCAATTTAGAGCTATCATTGTGTTTCGCTTGTTTTATTTATTTTTTAGCCGCTTGTTTTAACTAGTAGCTTCATTTTGACTTTTGAGTAGAATTTAGTTTTAAATTAAGTGAGGTAAACTAATTTGCTATGGACAATTTATAGGTACTTACATCAAAAGTGGATGTGCTATAAATTGTCTTTATCAAAGGAATTAACTACTAAAATTGTTTTAAAGTTTAAATGAAGTGTAAATAATCCTTAAAAACAATTTTTCTTATATTTGATCAATTTTTCACTGACAAGGGCTTGTAATATTCGTCAGTCCTGTTAGGTCCTAGGTTGTTAGTTTCAGTGGTTATAGCAGTCGCCCGGATTGCAAATCCCGGAGGTCGATGTACATGTCATGTTGTCATTGTCAAAACCATAGAGTAAAATATTAAAGAATTTTTCTTTTAACAATAATTCGTCAATATCAATTTATTTTCAGAAACAATGGCAGGAAGCGATAATGTCAGAGGACCGGTTGTCGCTAACACTAGAGGAGATCGTCCATATTAGGTCGGTGCTCACCAAGGCTGAGCTGGAGGTTTTACCTGTCGAAGGCAGAGTCAAGGAGGACGTTGAGAAGAGGAGGGTAAGACTCATTTTTGTTCATCAGTTAAACAGTTTGTGTATCGCCAGTAATACTAGTATTACCCGGCTCGAAGGACCATGCTCGGTAAAAGTTGCTGATTAAAAGAAAGTGAAACTTACGCCGTCGATCTCGAGTGATACTTAGGAATAGCTTGTAGATTACTATTAATCATAGGTAGTATAATATCGTGAATAGAGCTTGATTATAATATAAAATAGTTTGTAAGCTATATTGGTATAGGATGATAGAATATAATAGTCTTCTGATTGACATTATGTTGAATATAATTATGCATGTTATTTTCCTTTTCAGGTATGCTTCCTATGTTTAAAGACAAGATTTGGCATTTTTGGTCCCTGGGGACAGAAATGTAAACTATGTAAAAAGACTGTTTGTCAGAAGTGTTGTTCAAAGGTAAGGTTTAAATTTTATCAATCACAGACATATACTTAATATTTAATTAAATAAAAGGCACAGTTACAGAAAACAAACCATATAAGATAATATCATAGTATGATAGATTTTTCTTTTGATGCTATACTCAATATTTTAATAGATAATTGGCTTTTGAAAGTCGAATGTTTTAGAAACAGAGTTCTCGTTTAAGATGAGAGTCAAATGTAGGATGGGTAGGCATCTAACTGGCTACCTACTGTCTTGAGAAAATAAAAGGAAAATCATTGTATTATTAGAAGGACACAACTTTATCTGGAAACTTTGTATTTGAAAAACTGATTCCGATACATAAGACTTTTTAATCTCTATTCGGCACTATACTGCCGTCGACCTCAATTTCAAAAGTGACAGGGACAGCCTACTGACGGATAGTGATTCCCGTAATACAATCGATAAATAGTGATGTCCATGATATTCGATATTTTTAGTCTAGCCGTACCTACACAAAAATATCATGTAAACACACCTTTTACATTTCATGTCGGTCGATACGTCGATTTAACGTAAATGATCGAATAAACTATCGCACAACGAATCCGCATCGTCATTATAATATCTGTGTGGTGCCAGATGCGTATACCGACGGAGCACTTCGCGCACGTGCCGGTGGTGCTGCTGAGCCCGTCGCTGCTGCCGTCGCCGGAGGACGAGGCCGCCTCCTTCCCGCGCACGCTCATGGCGCGACTGGTCTCCGCGCCGCACGACGTCAGTACTTACGCATTTACCACCCACTTGCTTCTTGGGCACCGTTTCAATCATTCTCTAAACTAAATTTTATTCCTGTTAAATCAGTCACGTGCAGAATTGTAAATGCAGTTTGCTAGATTTAAAATTGAATTCAGTCTCGTTCGTGCACCAGACCCGCTCCAGTCTCTAGTTTCAAGGTTGACTCCTTTCTATGGTTGAACGACTGGAATAAATTCATATACTACCGCCCTAGGTTCGCCAGACTAATTTTTAAACAGTTTCTCGGTGAGGTTGGCGATTTTATATTTTCCGTGTATAAAGTGTATTTCGAGGTTATCAAGACGGTCGATTAGATATCCGGGAGGTAAAAAAAATAACGAAAATTAAAAACTAATTACAACAATGTATTTTTTAAAATGCAAACAGCTCGTCCTTTTCGATTACACAGAAAATTATATAATTCTTTTTAATTTACAATTAATTTTTTGTCATGAAATGCGCATTCGAATAGATCCAAAATCAGGAGCGAGTCCGCGAGATTTTAGCTGCATTCCTGGAGCCGGAAGATCTACGAGGATGGTTTGAAAAGTTCTCGGCCCGACCGAGAAAACAAAGAAAATAAAAACATGTTTTATTTTTCTACATATTCTCGTCTCGTGTGTCGAAAGACAATAAATTAGTTTACATATTACCCTCAAATCTCGGTCAAGCCGAGACCTTTCAAACCACCCTCTATCATCTCTCCTTTTTCAATCCTGCGATTCCGGGAGAATCGGCAACCCTAGCTGCGTCGGGCGTTAAATAACCGCTGTCGTGTACCGCAGAGCACGGCGGAGAACAGCGTGGGCAGCGCGCCCAGCAGCCCCGCGTGCGCGCGGCGGGCGGGGGCGGGGGCGGGCGCGGGGGCGGGGGGCGGCGCGGGGGGCGCGGCGCACAGCGCGCCGGGCTCGCGCGCGCCCTCCCGCGGCGGCTCCGCGCTCGGCTTCAGCGTGTACAGCGACGGCCCGGGCAGCATGCCGCTGCATCTGCCGCACGCCGACAGAGACAGGTATATACGCGGGGCTCTACTCGGGCACTGATGCACCCGACATCACTCGAGTACATTCAGAGTCAAAAACATCTAGTTAAACTTATGAATGCTACTTTTCGATCTTCTGACAGTTTTTTTACCCACAATTCGTTCGGGATGTTATTTTGGCCGATAAGAACGCGCAAGAAACTCACCGGCTCCGACAGAAGTGCCGATGTTTAAAGAAATCACACATCAAAAATGGCACGGTGGAACATGTCAAGTCCGATCGTTCGGATCTATTTTATAGTCTAACCCCTCATTAGGTGTATAGAAGACGCTGAATATTAATTTTATTTTAAAGTCAAAGAGTAGGTCGGTCATCGTTTCGATTTTTTCAGATACTTACAGCCGGTTGCACGAACGTCAATTAAAATGTTCATTACTTTAAAGCGACATTATCCAAAAATATTAACATTCATTAGTGTTTTAAGACGTCCTTAAACCTTAATGAACGTTTGTGCAGCTAACCGTTAAAATAGTAAACAGTGTGACATGTTTTCTGTCCGCCCGCAGTCGCGCGCGGATGAGTGGCGGGGCCGGTGGCGGGGCGGGCGGCGGGGCGGGCGCGGCGGAGCGGCTGCGCGGCGTGCAGATGGCGGTGTGCCTGGACTGCAAGGCGATGGTGCTGCAGATCATCAAGTCCTCGCGCGCCGCGCGCTCCGCCACGCGCGACCGCGCCCTCAAGCACCTCACGCTCGACCTCGCGCCCGTCTACTCCGCCGACTGCTAGCCGCCGCCCCCACCCCCCCGCCCCTCTACACCTCCACCGCCCGACCGATCTGGACGCTACGTTCGCCCGACTCTCCCGGAGCTCGATGGTATCTATATTCGAGCCGGGCGACCCGGAGCCGCACTGTGCATGACCTCGAGATGAACTAAGTTAAGTCAAAATCTGTTGATGCTGCTAAAAAAAGGCTGCGCTGCTCGAGTCGGGTCCTCCCCTTGAACTGGACTCGGTCCTCCCGTCGAACGACAGCGTGACCCGCCTGGATTCCTAGTCCCGCCTGGCGGTGTTCTTGAAGACGCATAAACAACGGTAGCTTCCTGTTTTGGTACTCTTTTACTCAGAAAATCGTTCATTAATATTCAAACAATCCAAGGTCAAAATGACGTTCACGTAAACATTAAATAACTGGAGTATCGTCGAATTGTCGTAATACCGAAAAATCGCGTTTCGAAATAGACCTCCAGAATGCTCCCTGTCATTGCAGCGTAGACTTTCGTAAATAGGCATCGGGTGCAGACTCTGGAGTCTTTAACCGCGTGTAGTATTTTTGCAACCAATTTCAGTATCATTATGAGCGAGGCGTTAGTATTACCAAAACCACAAATATAGGTAATATTACTTTACTGGAAACTCACCGGTGCTAGCGGTCGTACCTTCTGTCTGGTAGACGTTGTACCGGCATAATTAAGTTGGTACTCACACATCGTATTTACCTACTCACTTCCTTGCTACTTAAAAAGAAATGTAAAAAACAAACAAATTACCATAGTAATTTTCAAGACAAAGGTATTGATTTTGCCAAAAGTACAGAAGGTAAAATAACACCCTATTAGCATTGCACAGTGTTGCAAAAATATCCTTTTCAAGTACATTTGTATAGTGACATTTTACTAATTATGTTATTAATTAAATTCAAAATTGTATATATATGACATTCCAAATTATTTAATGCAGGATAACTTAGCCCGAATACATACCTATTATAAAAAAAGATGACTAATTAACCTTCTGTACTTTCTTTTATTTGAGTATAATTTTAAATTGTTCTCTTAAATTTTACAAGGCATTGTAGGTAGAATAATTCCGAAGTTTTGTTTTTGATGCTCAAAATATTATTATCAATTACCACCTATTTTTTTTCTAGCGTTAGGTCTGCTAATATGCCAGTATCTAATTCAGGGTTTTATTCATGCATACCAATAAAACTTCCACACTAATAGTCTACATATTAACAAACTCTAACGCGAAACTGTAACATTTTTTAAAGAAATATATATGAGTTCTACTTGCTAAGAAGATTTTATCAAAAACGTACACAATTATTATAACACTGATTCAATTTAAAATTTATTAATCCGAACCGTAATGTTCAAAAATTATTGATATGATTAATGATTCGTTTTATGTGCGTAATTATGAAACGAATTTCCTATGACATTGTATATTTCAATATGAACTTAGATTTTGACAACGTTGAGCTTAAATGCAGTTTCTATATTTGTGATGATTACAATAAAAGAGTACCATATATATTAATATGATATTACCGTATGAATAAAATAACACACTAAGAAATTCATCTAGATTAAATAATAGATTTAACCTGTGATTGCAGTTTAGAACATAGATCTGAGTAAAACTAGTACCTAAAGATTGCCAGAACATCATAACCGTGGCACATATTCTACAAAATCTATAAATAAAATGTTAAATTTAATGAAATAATTCATGAACATGTGCGATTTTAGACCATGTATTTAATACTGTAGAATGAAAACCACAAAACATGAGCTTCCAAGGTTGTGTAGTGTCCATCGCGTACGTCGCGTCGGGTGGAATGTGTAGAGTTTATTTTAAAATAGACAAACAAAACTTTGACAATACTCTCAAAACTTGACAGATATATAATCACGTACGTATTTTTGTTTATCGCACAATCGATAATAAGTCATATAACGATCAAAATAAAGTACATTGTATTCCAAATTATAATAAATTAATATTTATAATTATAAAATACTAATGATATATTCCGCAAAATTAATATTTTCTCACTATATTGTAATAGATGTATTTATATTTTTTCCGAATGATAGTATGTTTAATACATTTACAATTTGAATGTGAATCAAGATAATCTGTGTTCAAGAATATATGTATTATGAATGTTATAAATAAAAAAACATATTTACTTATATTAATGTTAAAAACTCAAATAGATTATGTGCTATACACTATTAATGATTCCCAAACGTGAAGCATACCACCGCTGTCCCCTAGACTATATGTGTTTTATAGAGGAACTAAAGTCGCGTTCACACTATGCAGTTCTATTATTTTTTACTAAATCTCGATTTTAAAAACAATAATGTTGCGCAGTGTGTAATCGACCGGGTCACTCTAAATAGTGTTTTAATTTTCAAATGACGTTTATTGCAAAACGAGTTACAAATTATAACAAAGGTAAGTTTTCTGTGCCATAAGTTTATAATCAATATTGTTTCTTTTGTAATCTCAACTGGCGGCTATTTATAAGAAGTTTGCTGTAATATGTCCCGTCGCATGTTGTTATTATGTTTATCGTGTTTAAAATACATAATATTAAATTTAAATCTGCGTTACTCATTTGATATCTCATTTGCATTGGATATTACACTTATAATTCGAGTTGTAAAAATGATCGTCAAGCCATATTTGTTGTAGCCTTTATTTATTTGCACCCTGTAAACAATAATAAGCATCAACTGTTTATTACTTAGAGCAGGCTGTATATTGTCAGCTAAACAGTTTTGGTAGCTAGTATACACCCTGCTTTATATCAAGTCTGATTGTATGAGGTTATCTGATTGTTTGTGTTACATAATCGCTCATGTCTTCATTATACTTAGATATAATTAAATTATTTTGCCAAATATATAACCACTTTCCATTTTTTTTTTCTCTTGTAAATAGATAAATTACATATAAGTGTCATCTTTAAATCGGTTACTTAAATCCTACTTAGTTTTAAGTTTCAATGTTTATATAGTTTAATTTACAGCATATCATGAGCTGGTTTCTGTTTTAGATGTTCAGTGTATTTTTGTTATAGCTCATAGTTTATCTTAAAGAATGTTTTTTTTTTGATTTCATAAGAAAACTATAATTTAGCAGCATAAAACGAAATCAGGCCTAATTGATTTGCAAAATAATCACTACTAACTAAAAAAGATGTCAACAAGTAATCTATATGTCTATTCAAAATTATTTATTTTAAGAAAACATTGTAAAAGAAGAATTCTGTACCAGTAATGAGTATTTGTAAATGTGTGTAAATTTCTGTAGTCTATATTAGATGTTACGTAGATTGTACACGTCTAAAGCATATTTAAAGAAAGAAGAAAAATGAACGATAATAAAAATAATTACAAATCATCTGTGCTTCTCTTTTATTCTACCCAAAAATCACATGTATAAATAATACTATGCTAGAGGGCTTGTAGAGTGATCTAATCGGTTCTTAAATAAGGTTCAAAGTTCAATGACTAATTTTAGGGGATCAATCGATAGGTAAATCATAATTGAATTTAATTATATAAAAATAACTACACCTACAACGAGGCTTCCGTCCGATGATTCAAATGGAAGATATTAAATAACTCGAAGAGTAACAATGTCGAATCACATTTATTTAATGATCACTATAAGTTAAACGTTGATGCTTAATAAATAATCGTATTAACACCTAACCGACGATGAGGAGGCCCTCGTTGAAGACATGGGGCGGGACCTCGAGATTGAGGGGGGCGGGGCCTTTCCTAATACGTCCGGACGCGTCGTAATGTGACCCGTGGCAGGGGCAGTAGTAGCCGCCGAAGTCGCCCGCGTTGGCGACGGGCACGCAGCCCAGGTGCGTGCACACGCCGATGATGACCAGCCACTTGGGGTCCTGCGTGCGCTGCTCGTCCGACTGGGGGTCGCGCAGGGTCTCTATGGGCACGGCCTTCTCTGTGGCGATCTCGTCTGCTGTCCTGCGGCAAGCGAAACGTCGCCTTTTGATAATCTCATTACTTTTTCGGATTGAATAGAAATAATTATGAATGAGACGTCGAAATCCCTTTAGCCATTGTTCTTCTAGTTTTAATGTATAAAACAATGAGATGTTATGGCTAGACTGCTTTCACAAGTAAGCATTTTAGTCGTCTGTTCCAATTATGTTATGTACGGAATAGGAATATTATATTTACCGTTTTATGAGTACAAATAAGTCAACAGAATATTAAATATCCTACATACTTTTCTGTTTTTTTTTTTTTTAATTAAAATATTCGATTATAGGAAATCCATTGACAATATTTTGTTTACAGCCAAACCTTTTGTGTGTTTTCTGTTACGTTTTTTAATAACATTGATCACATATGGCGAATACGAATACTAGAAAATTATTGATTTACACAGTTCTAAACTAGCCTTACCAAACGTTGCGAGTACTCACTCTTTACCTTGTTCTATACGAGTAAATAAAAATTTCTACGAATATGATAAAAAAGCCTAAAATGCAAGAGCGCTTTTACACTGAAACTCACTAATGAAAAGTATCAATGCTAAGAGAACAGCGCCACCTACTTGTGTACATCTGATATATTTGAAAAGAAGGTTTATTAATGATTATACGATTCAAAAGTGCTTTGATTGAGAGGGCATATATACCCAAAAAACACTAACTGTCAAATGGTGTCTTTTGGTTTCACGTGTCCTCTAAAGCTTTTCATTCTGAATTCACTACTTATTTGGCATTTCTTTTTTTTTTTTTAACATAGGATTTAAAGATTTCACTCTTCTCTACTGTTATATAAGTCTCTTATCTGATATTATACAAGTTGTAAAACATCACCACCAAAGAAAAAACAAAGCTTGTTTTATGATTTTCGATAATTACATTAGGCTTTTATACAAAAACACATTCGACTTTATTTTACCACTCAAATGTTAATACCTCTTATGTCAGTAGTGTTGTCTTATTCATTTATATACATAGCTGAGGTAAAATCTTAATGTCATTAAGACTGACTAAATGCACGATTACATAATGAGTTTTGTTTCAAAAAAGACAACACATAAGGTATCTCATCTCACTCACACATCACAGGGTTGGATCTCATTAAGGAGCATATAAGAAATAAGAAATCAGCCGATAGTATTGGACTTTTTCTGTATTCCAGGAGGGAACTTCAACGATAAACAACAGTTTACTTGCAATCCAATATATAAAGTATGCAATATTAACCATTTATTAAAAAAATGTACTCATTTGACATTGACTGTGCAAAGCATCATTTTAGTGGATAATTTCAATAATTTGTGTACTGCTAACGAGAGTTTGAAAGCATATTGGGAAAAATTATAATTCATACAATACATTTTATTTTGCATAGTTCAGTTCTCCACTAACATCGGGATTTTCCAAATGTCAATAATAAAACACTGTAAAATGGAGTAGCTCCATGGTGTGTGTGTTAAAAACTGCCCGGAACAGACGTTCATTGTAGAAGCTACTTATTTTGCTTTGCATGTTACATTGCAAATAATCTGTACCAGAGCTTTTTTTGAGTCAACAAAATTATTTTATAAAATCATCACTGTTCACAATGATTTAGTTATAATGAGGATATTTACGAAGGCAAAACAATTTACCTGTGTCTGATGAACAGTGGTTTGCCTCTCCACTTGAAGGTGACAGATTTACCCTCTGGAATCTCAGCCAGGTTGATCTCAATCTTAGCTAAAGCTAACACATCAGCAGCAGCAGACATGGAAGAGACAAACTGTGTGACAACCGACTTAGCAGCATATGCTCCTGCCATGCTGCCCACTGCAAAAAATAACATTTCAAGCCTTTTCAGGAAGACATTGTAACAGCTATTTTGTGTATTTTATAGGAGCTTTTTATAAATATTGACATCATCATTTTGAAAATTTTATTAAATGCTATACAGGCCTACTCGTTTTGAATTAGTACTTCAAATTTTTATTCAAATGTTGATTATGTTAAAATTGACAATGATGATAGATAAATGTGTTGTCAACTATGCCACTTACGACAGTTCTCAAATATGAATCTAAATGTATAAACATTTTGTAGTTTTAGTTTTTTTAGGGATACCATTTATAGATAGTAATTTTATTTCTGTTGTTTTGACTAATTTAGTTTTGGATGATACAGAAACCTGGAAATATAATGCAATTTTCTCATAGCTAATTTGCCAGTATAAAACCAATGAAAAGAAAGCACTAAAAAGCACTAGATAGCGACTAGCAAAAGTAGATTTTTGCAAGAAACAAATGGACTAAAGATAGTCAATTCTATTACCCTCCAATCCGCATTGGGCCAGCGTGGAGGGTCATGGCCCATCCTCCTTAACCATCCATAAGGAAGGTCTGAGCCTCTGCAGTGGGGACGTAAAAGGGCTGGCGATGGATAGTCAATTCTATTCCTTTTAACTAACATATTTAAAAACTGAAATTTGCAAAGTTCAAAACTTGGATGTCAATAAAAAATACGAAAAAGTATGATTAGATTATGAGTTGTTTATTGAGTTTTGAAAATTAATTTACTTTTATACATATAAGAAAACCAGAAGGGTTGTCATGGAAAAATCAAGAAAGTACCATAACAACATATAGTTTGATTTCAGGAACCGATGTTCTTTTTTAAAAATTTCCTCATTGAAAGATTATTAGTAGACCCACTTTCATAATAATATCCAGAAACTTAGATAAATATTTATAAAGCATGTTTTATCAGCCATGAACATAGTTTAAGAAATTTTACTGTATATGTATAATACATATAACTTAGTATCAAAAAAATGTCACTGGGATTAATGAGTATTTTAACTGTCGATAATACTATGCATATATAAAATAATACACAGTACACTTTCAGTTGTTAACATCAATAGAACTAGAACATAAATTATCTAAATATTCATAAAGTAAGTCTATCTATTGATTTCAATCAAGGGTGAATTAACTTTTAAATTTAAAACACAGTTAAATTAAAACCTTCATTTTGGAATTTTGGCACTTAATATGTTTTTCCTGAAAAGGCTAGATTTGTTTTAAATAGGTTAAAAATTAAAACACAAAAACATATTTTGTGGTTTTCTCAATATTTATCTGTGAGTATGAGGCAGAAGAAAGTTTCGAATATACAAAACAATTTGTTCAATAAAATACTTGAGGTTGAGAAAAATCATGGCCACTTATTTATGATTGGCCCTTGCAAAGGTTTTAAAAGTAAGAGTAAGGTTAAGCAACAAAATAGCGGGCTGAACAAGATGACCGTTTAAAAAATTCAACAGTAAAATTCTAAATACTTCACATAAACAAAATGAAATGTAAACAAATTATATACATTTTTTTTTTCAAAATGATACTATAACATAAATCTATCTAACTACAGACAGCTAGTTAGTTATCTAACACTTTGCGAAAGGTTTTTTAGATTTATAAAGCAGAAACTAACCTCCAGCAATAAGGTAAGTGAAGGATTGGCGCTGATCAACATTTTCCTCAGCTTTTGTCCTGGGGTCTTGGGTCTCTTTACGGCGATACGCCGAGAAATCAGGCACTGCAATATCACTGTGCGCAAATCGCACTTGGAAAGGAGCTGAAAATGACAAGTGTTATGTAACTTGAAAATTTATGATTACAGGAATACGTAGAAAAGCTAGTATATCAAAATAAGCCACTCACCACGTGTGCTACATTTTGGCTTTAACCCTTGAACAGGCAAAGCACCGTGTAGAGACTGAACAGTCGATGTGATCGGCAGAGGACTAGCTACCAACTTATCGACGGGTGTTGGCACCGCCGCCACTAATTTGAGCCCGTTAGATACTACTGGAGCTGATGCTTTGAAATATGGAGCCAAGTGTCCAGCCCTCACGACGGAAGTCATTTTGAACGAGCAATATCCACGCAATATAATTGCTTTTTTCTATTACAAGGACTGATTTTTGATAGTACAATATCTACGCAAAATCTTGACTTTGACAGAAAACGTCAAACGTCAAAATTAAAGTTGCTAGTACATACCTACGAAAAAGTTCATACCGTGGCGATCGAAATGGATTGGCAATAAGTCAAACTCGCGTTCTCCAACCATTCTTAAAATTAGAGAATCTTTGTTAAGATGTAAAAAAAGGGTACTCGGTTGGTAATTGCCTGGATATCTGGACATAGGGGGATCATACCGTGGCGATAATTTCAAGCTTACTCTTTATTTATATAACTGATGAGTTTTATAATCATAATAATAATAAAAACAAACAAACACACAAAACACCCGCAAGAGTACACAAAGAGCTCTAACTACCAGCATTTGCTGAGAGAAGAAAACATAATAATAATAAAATATTCTTTATTGGAACTTTAAACGGTACAAGTTATATTTGTTTTATGTAACAAATAAAATTTTAATGAACACAAGACTAGTTATAATGATTATAAGTTATACACAGTAGATTTTTTTGTTTAAGTTGTGTGAGCGGGTAAAATTTAAATGTGACTATAAATTTAAATTAATTATTTTATATCTATATAAATAAAGATTGTTACTTTTTCTGACAATAATAAAGTTAATTATACTTATATTACACAGACATAGCACATAATAACACAAATTGACGTATATTTTTAATACGGCAACATTAATCATTAACGTTACGTTCCATGCAGAAATTGTAAGAGGAAGCTTTTCACGGTTTTATTATTTATTAGTTTTGATTACGTTTTAGACAGCCAATAGCTCAAAAAGAGAAACGCATCCTATTGTCAACGTTTTGCGATTATCACATAATTTTGCATATTATTATTTTGTAAGCTTACATGAGAGCGAGAATATTTCAAAACATTATCAGGTGTTGGCATTGTGTTGAAAATAAATAATTAATATCAAAGGCGCCCGAGATGATAGACGAACCAGCGCAGCGCTGCCACCACCGCCACGCTGCGCCACAACAAGCGATTTTTTTCATTGGACGTCTTTTGGCTCATAAGAACAAGCAAGTATATCACCAGCTCTAATGGGAGTAACGACATTCACCATGTCATTACCAGACCAATACATTAAAAATAGAGAGAAAATAAACCAATGATCTTACAATGATAACATAATAATTTAATAATGGCAACAAGATTAGTTTTGAGATATAATTAGTTTAGACGAAATGACCTATCCAGTTGCTGGACCATCTTAAGTTCAAGAATTTTTATCTGCTCTATAATCGAATACCGTATAATAAGCTTTTTTAATAGTAGATTTAAACGACCTTATTGTAGAAGCGCACACAAAGACCCCTGAATGAACATTTTTTTTTTAAGATTAGTGACAGACACCGTTAATTTATTATTACTTCTAGTATTAATATTATATATATCACTTAATATAGAAAACAAACTAATATTTTTACGAACATACATTAAGTTCTCGTATATTCATTGAAAAGCAACAGTCATTATGTCTATTTCTTAAAATTTTTCCCTTAAAGAGTCCCTAATATTATAAATTGATCTAATAGCTCATTTCTGAAGCACAAAATCGTTAATAAGTCGACAGAATTCCCCCACAACAAGATTTTGGTATAACAATACAAGTAATTGAAGTATATTAATCTGGCAGTAAATATTAGTTAAGTTAAATATCGATATAAATAAATGTCAGTTAAATATGTAATTAAATATAACTCTAATTAAATATAACTATATCTAATTAAATATAACTCACTACTGACGTAGTGATGTATAAATGCACAGCCCAAACCACAGAACGGATCGGGCTGAAATTTGGCATGCAGGTAGATGTTATGACGTAGGCATCCGCTAAGAAAGGATTTTGACCAATTCTACCCCCAAGGGGATAAAATAGGGGATGAAAGTTTGTATGATTTTTTATTATTATTTTTAATATGGTAAGCAATGCAGTGGTCTAAGATGGAGCGTGCTTGCCTAGAAGAAACCGATTAACTCTTGATTTGAAGAGTCCCAGATTGTCTTTATCCGGTAACAGTGAGTCCGGTAGCGAATTCTACAGCTTCGCAGTTCGCACGATGAATGTAGAGGCGAATCGCTTGGTGCGAGTTTGCGGAATCTCCACAGTAAAGCGGTGACGCTTCCTTTGTCAATTTTAAACCGTTCGGGCTGAGACTTTGCATGCATAAGCTACTATGACGTAGGCATCTTCTAAGAAAAGATTTTGATCAATTCCACCCCTAAGGGAATAAAATAGGGGATGAAAGTTTGTATAAATCTTCTTAGATTTTCGACTAATTGAACTAAAATTGAAGATTGGAGCTACTATGATGAAGACGTCCGCTTAAATAGGATTTTGATAAATACAACCCTCATGGGGATAAAATAAAGGTAGATAAAGGAGGACGTAAATGTATTAGATATAATGAATAAATATTCGTTAGAAATGATGTTCAAAGTATCTTTACCACGTGGACGAAGTCGCGGGCAAAAGCTAGTCGTCTAATAAATATCAGTTAACACACATGCTGCAGAGCTATGTGTTAAGTGAATCAATATCATTGCTTTGAATTCTTGAAATAGCTTTGTTAGGTTTGTTAGAATAAATTAATCTACATTTTTTGTCTTATTTTAATCTAGTCAAATTTAATCCAAACAAGGGTAATTAAATATGTTATTAATAATAAAAATCACTATATAGTATTTTAACATATCATTGAGGTTAAGTACCTTTTATAAAGTAAGAGTCACAGTCAAAGTTTTTCTATTATCATCAATACCTATAGGTGGTATCTTGAATGAATAATTTGTTAAATAGGTCGGTACCTTTTTATGTAATTATCTTCATATTTAATATTTAATGTGCCTAGATATTATATATGTTATGAGGGCACATCAAATAAAGTGCTTAAATTTTAGAATTAGATTCAAGTGCTAATGAATTTCATGAGCGGATGCGCATGCTACGTGCTATAATGGTTAAACAGCCTTATTTGTAATAATTCTCATTCCTTTCGTGATGTAAACTTGATTTATAATTTGACTATTAGCTATTGTGATTGATTATTTATTATTATTTTCTTAGGATTAGATACGTACGTGCTATTACACATTTTAATAATTAGGAATCGTAATGTTTGGTAAAGGGATGGGCTTTTTAAAATCCCAATAATAACATTGCTAACGGTATTTAAAAAAATCGTTAATTTTCTAATTGTTTATTTTTATTTTAAAACGAATACCGTTTGTAGTTTCAACGTAACGCTTCTAGATGGCGTTAGTTGATTCCAAACGCAACATATCAGATCACAAACATATATATTTCCGATATTACGTAGTTATTAACATAAATTAATTCTTAGTCCACTTAATCGGTGCAACCTTGGGATGTTACTATATGTAGGTACCCAGCAGGTCTATAAACAATTTCATGGTCACTTCACTACTGCGCTTTACCGGAGCCACGCGTCCGTGAGCGTCACTCCACACACACACACACACATACACACACACACACGTACAGACGCATGATTGCTGCACATATTCAAACCCACCCACACGCTATAGCAGACGCGGTGACGTACACGTCTTTACCAACACGCTCACAAAATGATTGTAGGGTGAGCAAAATACGTGTGGATTGTCTTATTGGACATGGTTAAAAACAACATCTATTTGTTATAGTCAAACATCCAAATTAATAATGTAATAACGTCTGACATAAATTATACGACTTTATTACTAATTTTAATTTATTTTATTATGTGTATGTTATGAAAGGAGAATAACTGTCTAATAATACTAATCATTTATTGACAAAAACGAACGATGATACAGAAATAATTATAAAAAGAAGTGTGTTAGGTGAGTAGTGAAGTGTAATGGGTACGTTAGTAGTGAAGATGGTTCGGTAAATTGGGCGTGGGTCTGCGCCGAAATTCCATTGGCCAAGTTGAAGTGACGACAGAAGTGGCATGTCATCAGCTCAATACGGCAATGTCTTGAGTGGCGTTGGCGATTTGGTGTGTAGTTTCGAAGAGACGTAGTCTCCCGGAGCCTCGAGCAGGAAGTCCTCCAATAGCCCTAGACTGAGTAGCAGCTCGGGCTTCCAGGTATTCAGATGAAGATAGCCTCCACGAGAGAAGGTTTCAAGATTAGATTTGCAGGTGGTGTAGAACTGGAGATGGTAACGGTAGAGTAATTTAGTTATCGAGTTTATGGTTAAAGCCAGAAAGTTGTCGTATGACTTTGAGACCGTAACTTGAAGAGTTCTTGAAATAGGCCTTTTATCAATTTATGTAGCTCAGGGCGAGCTCAAAAATTAAGCCTTCCGATTTATTTCTTGCCAGAAACTATGCCTCGTTTTTACCAATTAAAACACTTTAGGTGTTTATTTACGAAGACATTTTTATTGAATCAGAAAACAATAGTATATAATATTGTCAATAAAATTTGAATATTATTATTATAGTGATATTTGGTTTTATGTAAAACTGCTTTTTTATACTCTATTTCTACATGTAACTGCCCGGGTAAATGGTAGAGAACGCCTAATAGCATTAAGCCCTCTAAAAATAAATAAAATGAAGTATAAGTCAAAGACCAATAAAAGTATTTTTCTGACTTTGACTATTTATTTATTTATTAATTAGGATATTGTCTAATTGAGGAGTGACAAACTTAGACAGTCCAACGTCGAAAGTGAATTTCATGAGATCGGGGTTTGTAGAGTCAGAATTTAATTAATAATCAGAATGTATTACTTTGTTAAATTAGATATAATAATACCTATATTTATTAATACAAATAATGTTTATCTTGTCTGTACACGATCTAGCTTATTCTGTAATACATAGTGACTACGTTGAAGCACTAGCTTCCTGAATCCAGTACTTAAAGTATGGTTACTTCATTTGCTTTACACTTCTCGGCAATAAATAAAGCAGTTGCGTGCGTGTAGTACTTACCTACCCGCCTTTTTGTTTGTACACAGTTTTTAC